GTTACTCAATAAGTTGTGAGCGCTAGAAATTAAGAATTTGATAAAAATACTATCAATTTAAAATAACAAAAGGATAATTTCATTACAAAAGTGTAGATATAAGTTCTTCACGTATTAAATAGAGATAAAGATTCTACTGAATCTTTATCATTAGAGTAATCTCAAAGTAAAATTGCATCTTGAGGAGAAGATTACAAACTTTTTTATATCAAAATCTATAAGCACCTCTTTTTCATTACTCAGCCATTTTTGAAAATAGCTTAATTATAGCTCATTTATACCGTTTTTCATAAAGAAGTTTATCAGATACTATTGTATATTTGATTTTGGTTTAACTTAGCATTTTTTCTTAATACAAATAAATTAAGTAGTATAGAGTATTTTTTAATTCTATTTTTTTGTATATAAAAGTAATCATAATGGAGAATAATGGCTAAAAATTTTTAGGATAAATTTATTGATTTAAATAATTTTATAATAATCTCAAAAAATTAAATCGTTTGAACAACATAAGGATGAGATGCATATCATTTTTCTTAGCATCTTTCAAATTTATAAATACAATACTTTCTGTTAACTTATCTATTATAAGATTAATTCTACTTCTCAATTCTTTTAAATTAATTTAGGAAATACCTATCATATTCTCCAGATTAAAAATAAAATATTAGTCAATTAAGTCAGATTTCATTTTCATAAAATTATTTTTATCACTCAAATCTTTGAATAAATATTAGATTTATTTATTGTAAATTAAATTCATTGATCTTTAATAAGATGATTACTTACCTTTTAAAATATTAAAATAAATCTTTGAACTACTAAATTGGAATGTTTGGAATATCTTGTATAATTATTTAATTTCTATAGCAATCATCCAATCTGTTTGCATCATTATTTGATTCAAATAACATAATATCCCAAATCATTAATTATCTCTACAAGTAAAATGAGAAGTGAAGTGTTTGTCAGAAATATATTGAAATTTTCAGGATAGTATTTAAATAAAAATTACTACTTTCATTATAGATGATGAGAAATTAAATATCTAACTGCAACAATTAATTAAAACCTCAATTTTCAAACATTTTTATTAAGATTTATTGATATAAAATTCAATAAATCAAAATCCTCAAGGTAAACTTTTATTAAATACATACAAAGCTTAGATTTTTAATATAGCTAAAGCATTATATGTGCTGCCTGGTTAATTAATTATTTTTATCATTTAAATAAGTTGATCTTCAAACTTAATTGTTACCAGACCCCTTTTATATTTTCCATAAAACAATATCTTTTCAATATTATCTTAATCAATTTTTAATGAAAATAATTCGACTGCATGAAATCAAACATATGTTGAATAAGGGGTTAAGGATGCAAATTCATAGTTGAGACTTGAAACTAGGAGGGGCTCTTAAAGATTGGGTATGCCTAGGCTTCTCGAACAGCTATAGAGTAGGTATCTATCTTGTGTTCAGAAATATGACTTCAGGATGATCGTCAAGTCTATTCGTCTATGGGATGTCAAAACAGGATAATAAAAAGCCAAATTAGATGGTCATAGTAACACTGTCTGCTCAGTTTATTTCTCTCCTGATGGGAATACATTAGCTTCTGGTAGTAAAGATAACTCTATCCGTCTATGGGATGTCAAAAACAAGCATTGTTCAAATTATAGATTTAAAGAAATTTAGGTTAAAAATACAAGATATCCTTTTTTTAACACCCCTTTGCAGTAAAAGAATATTATTTAAAATTTAGATACATCTAATATTATGGTTTACCCAGACTTCAATTTTGTATAGGTTTGAGAGTTTTTTAAAAACAACCCTTTCCTTTTAAGAGAATTATTGGAGTAACACTTGATTAATTTAAAAACTAACCTATATTAACCCTTAATTTAAATCTATTTTAATTTACTTCTTGTGACTTTTATTTGTTGATAGAGTTCTATTTTATAGTTTTTTTCTTTTTTAACAATCTTGAAGCATTACTAAAATGGAAATTAATTTAGCACATTTTAAAATATTATGAAATAGAACTTTTAGTTGCATGAATGCAATAATATCTTAAATCTTTGTATACTGTTTTTTTTGGTATTATTCTTATCATAACCAAGTATTTTCTATAAATTTATATTTAGAATGTGAACTGTCTAAGATTTATAAAGTAGATTCTACAACCAAATCTTTCGACATTTATCATTTCTAAGTTTTCTATTCTTCGTATTTCTTGAGAGTCGATATATTTTAATATTCACAAAATAATATTTATCTCAACTCATATTTAATTAACAGGAATAATATTATTTTTTATTAAATTGATTTT